TTTTTTGAATCCGAATTAAGATTAGAAATTTTAGCTACGTTATTATTACTTTTATTAGGTTTATACTCAAACTCGCGAACAAACGCCCCGGTCGGCCAAAATGAACTATTTAGTAGTGAATCAAAATCTTCGGAAGCTACATCAATTTTAAAAGATGAAATATCGCGATCGTATTTAAAATTAAATTTACGAATAAATACATCTTTAGTTCTAATTTTAGTCGATATGTATGACTTTATATCATCCGAAGAAGTATCTTTAGCAAATCTAGAGACAAAGATTGATCTTCTCGGAGGAATTACAACCAACTTTTTGGTAATGATGTCTGATGTGCGGGGCTCCGAATTATTCGGAGGAACTAAGTTAGACAGTGCAGCTTGAGATGTTGATGGCAACACTGTTAAATCAACGGTTTGACTATTTTTAGAAGTAGACCTAGTGGATATGGCTTAAGATATCGAAGGCTCCAATGCCTGAGGGCATGGAGAAGATAAATTAATAAGTTCTAAGGACTGGGATGGAGGATTTTTTTTACTAGAATCCGTGGCTGTCTTTTTAGGTGGACTAATAACATGCCCACCTTTATTTTCTCGGCTATCCTCAGAGTGTGGAGGGTCGTCGAGACAAGTGAAAGACCTAAACATTTTTTCGTAATGCTTAAATTTCTCAACAAGCGCCGACAGATCCTTCCCGATCTCAGAAAAACCATTTCTGGACTGCCTGAAGAATTTAAATAAATCAACTTCGGTTGATCTACATTTTTGACAAGACCAACGAAGACCCTTACCCTCGTTAATAGCGTCTAACACTCTACCGCTCAAACCAGCACATTTTATATGGGCAATCCCATCGCAGAGCCAGCATGACACATAGGAGTCGCTTTTAACGTTGCAATTGGTGTAAATACACGACATGTTTAAAATTATATTTATTTTAAGGTTTTAGAAGCAAAAAGGCAAAAACAGTTTTGAAAACGATGTACTAATAAGTGAACCAATCAGCTGGTAAATATCAGTTGGAAAGCTATGTAGCGAACAGTTTTAAATGCACTGTATATTTGACACCTAATAAAAACAACGCAAACAGCTGTGACAAAGATGAAACAGCAGAAATGACAAAAAGACAAAAAGAGCAAAATCAATGTGCACAAACAAAAACAATTGTACAACAACAATATATTATATGAAACAAAATACTCGGCACATGCAATTAAGAATATCAAGTTGAATTAATCAAATTTACAGGAAATTTTGATGTTTTACTTATCTTTAAATTGTGCACCAGAAGTTTATTAACACTTTATTTAATTTTTTTCTTTAGTAAGCGTAAACAGCTTTATAAAACACAAAATTTAAACAGATCATAGAAAAACACAGCTTCACAGCTTGACGTTTGCGTATAATTCCACTTCACTAAAATAACAGAAGAGCACTTTGTCGAATTATAACGATTTCCAAAAGCACTATGCGTTCAGTTGATTAATGAACTGAAACCATTCCTCAAGGGCTCATGTAAATTGCATGCCATTCCGAGCCATATAAAGGTTCTGTGCGCACTTCGATTTTTTGCCACTGGTAGCTTTCAGCGAGCATTGGGACAAGATCAGTTTTCTTCACTCTCACAAGCATCAGTAAGTCGCAGTGTGACCGATGTAGCACGGGCATTAAATAGAATTACCCATCGATATGTTAAATTCCCAAAACGTGAAGAATTTAATGCAAAGAAAATACAATTTTTCGAATAACATGGATTTCCGGGAATAATAGGCTTAATCGATGGGACTCATATAAAAATATGCGCACCAAAAAAAGAGATTGAACATGTGTACTACTGCCGCAACGGTGGCCATTCCAAAAATGTACAAATTATATGTGATGCCAACCACCTTATATTAAATGCAAGTGCTAGATTTGGAGGTACAGTGGGTGCCACTCAAAATGGCCCACCTGTGAAAAGTTAACAAAAAGTCTTATAACTCCAAAAATTTAGTTTTTCTTTATTAACTTTTTTATTTTTCTTAAATTTTAGACAACAGCCAACAAAAAACCGTAAACATATTTCATTGATAAAATACTGTTTTCAATATTTGCGAAAAGAAAGCAATTCATATCGTTATATATGAGCCACATGAAATGCCCTACTTATTTAAACTTAAGAAAATACATAAAATAACCACACATTTCTTTAAAATTAGTACTTTGTGGGATATCCTCTTTGATTAGTAACTGATTTTAACCTATTAGGAACAGATTCCATCAATTTTTTCATATAGTCAGGAGATATTTTTTCCCACTCCTCCATAAGGGCAGTCTTGAGGTCGTTCAAATTTGATATTGCGCGCTTCCGAATTTGAACTTAGAATTTTTGCCATAAGTTCTCAATTATGTTTAAATTGGCAGATTGTGGAGGTGTTTTCAAGACCTTAGGACAATTATACAATAACCATTCCTTAACGATGTGGGCGAAATGCTTTGGATCGTTATCTTGGTACAAGTGAAAAGTATGCTCTATTCCCAGCTTCTGTGCACTTGGTTTCAGATTTTCCCGCAAAATGTTTAAATATTGAAATTTGTCCATATTACCTTCCACGAAGCACAGATTTCCAACTCCTGCTGCTGAACAAGCACCCCACACCATCACATGGCCACCACCATGCTTCACTGTAGGTCGAAGATGTTTCGGATCCAGCTCTTCATTTGGTCTTCGCCATACGTTTACCCTCCCGTCTGATCCAAATAAGTAAGTTGAATTTGGATTCGTCAACAAAAATTACGTTTTTCCAGAACTCAAAATCTTTCATGTAGTAGGTTTGAGCGTTTTCCAAACGAATTTTCTTATTTTTTTCACTAACGAATGGTTTTTTCCGGGCAATTCTTCCATGTAAACTAGCCTTATGAAGAACCCTTCGGATGGTTGTTGCACTGCATTTTGTATTAAATTGTTTCGTTAACATATCTCGAAGAACTGGAGCACTTAGTCGTGGATTTGATTTGACTTTTTGGAGAATCCAATGCTCTTCCCGTTCATTAAGCAATTTCTGACGAGGATGTTTTGGTTTGTTTGCGATTCGTTTTTCTTCATTATAACATTTTATTATATTTTTTATAGTACCGCGTGGCCTTTTAACCATCTCTGCTATTAATCTTTGACTTTTACCGCTTTTGTAATGTTGTATTATTAAATTTCGTATTTCGATTGTGGTTTGAGGAGCCATCTTACGAAAATGCGCAATATCTTACACTTCTAAAATTCGCACACGCAACTAATAACTCGAACACATGAACAACATGTCTAAATGAAGCAAACAGACAAATATTTACTAACAGTTTTCGTGAAACACCGTTATCTGTGTTGCTTTCAATGAGTGGGTCATTTTGAGTGGCGCGTAATTTTTGGTGTATTTTGTTGCTATCTCGTAAATATTGAAAACATCTCCATCTCTTTCAATTAATTTTGCTTTCCTTTATTGGTTACCGATTGAGCTTTGAGAAAAATAATACCGATTAAAAATAAATAATAAATCTCTGGTGTTATAACATGTTTTGTAAATTTTCCGCAGGTGGGCCATTTTGAGTGGCACCCACTGTACAGCCCATGACTCCTATATTTGGCGAAGTTCGAAAGTGCACGATTCTCTTAAGCAACATTTCGATAGAGGAGAACGTGATTTCTGGCTTTTAGGAGATAGCGGATATCCTTTACAAGTATACCATTCTAATTTCAAAAGCATTTCTAGACATTTTAAACCTTAAAAATTCTTTACTTAGCCTTGGCTGATGACTCCAATCGCTGAACCAGCATCTAACGCCCAAGAAATATATAATATATCACATAAAAAAACAAGAGCTATTGTTGAAAGATGCATTGGGGTGCTGAAGAGCAGATTTCGTTGCCTAGCCAAGGCAAGGGTACTTTTTTACAGTCCACAAATATCAGGCATTATTATATATGCTTGTATCGTACTGCACAATTGTCTTATATCTGCTAGAGTGCCTTTCAACGAAAGGATTGAAGAATCTGAAACACACATAGCCGATGAAATTAGTCCAACATTTGACAATGTTTTAAGTGAGGCACGAAGACAACGAGCAAGAATTGTTGAAGCCTTTCGCCAGTGAATAAAAATGGAAATAACTTTCTTTTATATTTGAAACTTTAATGTAAATTAATGCAGGTCACACATTAGGCTGGGTTGGTAATTTTTTTGTTTGAATCGAATTTGAATAGTCAAGGGTATCGGTAAGGTTCTAGAATACAGTGCAAAATTTTAGATAAACCCATCAAGCCATTTCGTCGAACAATGAAAATTGCAGCATGATTCAATATTTTTAAAACTCCTTCACTCTGGGTCAATATGGATTGATCATATACAGTGGTCGAATAAATTTTAGCCGTACCATATTTTGACAAGTTTTAACATATGATTTTTTTTTTATTTAATTTTGGTTATTTTTATATAAAAAATTAGTTCATTCTTTAACAAACCCAGTGTAAATCCAAGTTTTAAGCCTTGTGCATATTAAAACAAATATCAACAAACGTTCGTAAAAAGTTCGAGCTTTTTTAATTAGATGCCCTAGAAAGGTTCTGAGCATGCAGCTTTGTATCCCATTGAATTCTGGTAGAATAAAGAATAACTTTCAACTTGCACTTTATTCTACAAGAATTCAATGGGCTACAAAACGGCATTCTCTGAATCTTTCTAGGAAATCTAATTAAAAAAGCTCGAACTTATTACGAACGTTTGTTGATTTTTTTAATATGCGCAAGGCTTGAAACTTGGATTTCCATGGGGTTTGTTAAAGAATGAACTATTTTTTTTAGTTAAAACTTGTCTAAATATGGCGCGGCTATAATTTATTCGACCACTGTAATTACTTATAGATACTTTTTGACTCTATTCAAATTCAATTTAATTAAAAAATTACTAGCCGTTAAATAAATTTATGAATCCAATTTTTATTAAAATAAATAAAATGTGAAGTGAAATATTCAGTCAATATTAATTATTAAAGGCAAAATGAAATCATTGCTGTTTTTTTTTTTGCATCTTTCTTCAAGCTTACTAATTCCTCTAGCGCCTGCACTTTTTTTTCTCGTTGTGGGTAAAATCGTCATAATCTATTACTTCATCAGCAAACAACTTGTCTCTTGTCTGGCGCTTCTTAGTTTTCTGAAGTACCTTTGGCGTTTTGCTATTCAGAGTGGAGGGCATTGCATCGTTTTGATATGCGTCCGTCTGACTCTCCGGAATAAATTGTGTAGTATCCACTTCACTAACTTCTTCAAACAACGGAGGGCTCCGATCTATAAAGCAATCCTCTTCCTATAGAAATTTNTGATCTTCGCATTGAATTGATCCGTTGAGCTTTAGGGGCTCCGTGGAGCTTGGACTGCATTAGATTGCGGAAGGTACCCACGTTAAACCTAAAACTACATCTCCGGAATAAATTGTGTAGTATCCACTTCAATAACTTCTTCAAACAGCGGAGGGCTCCGATCTATAAAGCAATCCTCTTCCTAAAGAAATTTGAATTAATAAAGATACATTAATAAGCATACATACTAACAAATAAGAACACACTTAATAGGGCTGTTCAGGATCTTGCGCATAATATGCACATTATGCTCTTGAATTTCCACATTCGGTGCACTCGTAAATTACAATTAAAATGAAAACGGTTGCCGTGGTAAATAGCACAAAATTTGGAAATGCAAATCCAAGACTATTTGCACAAGATCTGGAACATCCCTATTCTAAAGTATTCACAATTTTGTCAAATCCAAGTTCAGGATAATAGTCTCCATCCACTGCTTCCTTTGAGATTAAATTTATAATTCTCTTTTCAAACTCTGTCATTTCCTTTAGCTTTGTTATACCATTTACGCCACTCATTTCTTGCTGCTGCTTTATTGAACTATATTTTGATTTGGTGGAGAGCCTATTAACAAATTTAGGAAAATGTTTGACGTTGTTATTTTCATTAAAAACATTCATGCCAATTACGGTATCCATCGGATGCCACCTAGGCATATGCTCTTGCATTTGCCACCTAGGCATCCGACACATCTATTCCGATCTCTACGGTCATAACAATCGAATGTGAAGGATTAAATTCGTGTGAATGGCATGTATTATCCGACGGATTCCTTCACATGCGATTGTTATGACCGTTGGGGTCGGAATAGATGTGTCGGATGCCGGTATTGGTATGAATAATTTTTACCTGAACTCGGTCGAAAATTTTCTCCACTTTTTTGCACATTTTTGTGCTGCTCCCAGTCCATTAAGTGTCGATTGTCGAAGCAATAGGTCGTGGTTTGTCAGTTCGCGCTTGTAGCTAGTTGAGTTTTTCGCAGTCCGTTTTGTGCGGTGTTCGTACAATCGTTTGGTTTGGTTGCTTACCAGTGGCGTCGGTATACGGTAACTTGTTTACCAAGTTGTGCGCGTGGCTAACGGGAACTTGTTGACAAGTTTTTCGTCATCCGCTTTGTGGTGGTATTTGTTTATCAGTTGGCGTCGGCTAACGGGGACTTGTTTACTTAAAAGTGGCGTCGGTGTACGGTACCTTGATTACCATTGTGTATCAAGAGTACAGTCAAGTGAAATTCCTTGAAAAAATCGTTGGACCATGTAGTCTATTTGTGTTTATATTGGAGTACTTACAAAAGTGTTCCTCTGTCATGCTGTAGCGGACCAAGTCGTGTCTCTGTGCCAGCTTATTGTTTGTTACCGGATCACTGCTCGTGTTTTAATGAAATGTGATTGAAGTTGAGCATTTGAAAGCACATTTGCATGTCTGGCTGTAGCTGAACGTGTAGAGATGATCGCTGTTAGTTGTTAGCTCCCAGCATGTTCGGGTTCGAATGCCGTCAGAGGCAACATGTAATTTTTAATTTTTGTTTTTGGGTTTTATTAATTTCGAAAAAGCATCTGAGAAGTGAAGAACAAAAGCGTGTACAAACGAAAAAATATAACAACAATGTCGTTGTTAATATGTTGGAGTAGTTTTGTGCTACTCTGATGTAATGCAGGGATGGAGTATATGGTCCTGCCCTAGGACATCGCAATGTCAATTGGATCATATTTTTTATATGAATTGTGTTTAATTTTGGAGTACTCCTTGGTCCTTAGGGAGTACTCTTTACGCGCATGCATGGAGTAGTCGCGATTTTTGCAGGGTTTAAGCGTTGATAGTAGATAGTGACTACGGTATTTGTTTGCAAGTACCAAAAGGCGATCATCACGTGGTGATTGTCCTAGTGGAAAGTGAAGTGACTTGTGGACCACTTGGGGTATAGGTGGACCAGTTGGTAACGACTTTGGGACCAGTTGGTAAATAGTTCGTGGGACCAGTTCGTAAGCAGTCGGAGACCAGTCCGGGAACGTGTACCGGGTACCACTTTCTCGAGCTAATTGCTCTGGGTAACCTGTTGTGTGGTTTGCTGGCTTTTTGGCTAGACCTTGAGGAGAGTTTATACGCGCATATCGACCGTTGTTTTGGCTCGCGAGTGTGTTGGTGTAGGTACTACATCGGTCGATCCATATCCCGATACGGGGACACTGTTCTGACCGGCGGGATTGTTTTTGGGTGACCTTTCCAGGGGCTGCCTGGGGTGTGGTCTGCACCCAGCGGTTTTTAACCGCCTTGACCGCTCGTTGAGTCGCCGGCGTTATAGCGCGGGCTCTACTTTGAGTCCTACCGAAACCGGGGCTCCATTTTCAGTTTACTCTAAGGGCGTTTGTTAGAGTTTAGTTGGTGCTTGGGTGCGTGTGTGCGTGAGTGTGCGGTATAGCTGCCCGTTGGAGGGGCCGAAGGCCAGAATGCCATCGCGGAGGAAGAACCGCAAAGTGGCTAATGTGGGCGCTGAAGAGTGGTCGGTTCGTATAGGGAGGCGGTGCGATTATTCGTACACCTTCTGTCGCGGAGCGGGAGAGGGTTGCGAATAATACTCGCTTCTCTGAGGTGGGGCTCGATGTCAGCATCAGGAAGCAAGGAACCAGGGTTGTGGTTCAGTCGGTTCACACCGAGATAACCCCCGATGAATTCATGGGGGAGTTGTACCGGTTGAACCTTCAGGAGTTCAGCCCTGGATGCCTTGAGAAGGACGTAAGGATGATCAGCCGTCCTTGGAAGAAGACTCCGGATGGAGTAACAAACGTGGTCTTGGAGGGTACGGACAAGTTAATGTCCGCTCTCCTTGATGCGGGCCGTTGCTACATCAAGTGGTTTTCGTTCCGAGTACGGCCGGACTTGTTTGCGTCCGCTTGCTTCCGGTGCATGGGCTTCGATCACCTTGTGGCTAAATATAAGGCGAAAAAGGAGGTCTGTTTGAGGTGCGGGCAGGAAGAGCATCGTATGGCGAATTGCGATAATGCAATGCATTGTCGCAACTGCGCCTTCAGGGGAAAGCCGGCTGATCATCTTATGATGACAGGCGCTTGCCCGATTTATGGTGCAATTGTTGCCCGCGCGCTTGCCAGACATTAAGATGGGTAAGGTCCTGCAACTTAATTGTCAGGGGGCTTATTCAGTGATGTGTGATGTAGGCGCATTGATGTTAGAGGAGGACTGCGNGAGGAGGACTGTAGCATAGCTCTGCTCCAGGAACCTTATGCCACGCAGGGTGTGGTACGAGGTCTCCCTGGTGGCTTCAGGGTTTTCACCGACCGTGGGGCCAATGCTGCAGTTGTGGTGAATAACCCGCACTTAGAGTGCGTGTTGGTAGACTCGTCTGAGCTAGGGGTAGTTGTTAGTGTAGAGGGTAGGTTCGGGAGGCTGCTCGTCAGCAGCATCTATTGTAGGTTTGGTGAGTCATTGGAACCCTACCTCGTCTATCTTGACACGGTGCTACTTCTGGCAAGTAGCAGACCTGTTGTCATCAGTCTAGATGCGAACGCCTCCTCAACCGCATGGNGTTTGGTGAGTCATTGGAACCCTACCTCGTCTACCTTGACACGGTGCTACTTCTGGCAAGTAGCAGACCTGTTGTCATCGGTCTAGACGCGAACGCCTCCTCCACCGCATGGTTCAGCAAGACATCCCGTGATATGTCGGGATATCGAAGCTGGCAGCGGGGGGAGTCGTTAGCAGAATGGGTGGCAGTAAACGAGGTGGGCATTATTAATGTCCCGAGCCNGTCATCGGTCTAGACGCGAACGCCTCCTCCACCGCATGGTTCAGCAAGACATCCCGTGATATGTCGGGATATCGAAGCTGGCAGCGGGGGGAGTCGTTAGCAGAATGGGTGGCAGTAAACGAGGTGGACATTATTAATGTCCCGAGCGAGTGGTTTACATTCGACGGTCCAATGGGTGCTAGCGACATAGATGTCACGTTGACGAATGCGGCAGGCAGTAGGGACTTCAGTTTCGACTGGAGAGTTAGGGGTGGATGGGGTATAAGTGACCACAATCTTATTGAGATTGTGATCTTGCCCCATGCGCCTCCTGGTAGGGATTCTGTGTGTCATGCGAGAAGGTGGCGTACCAGTGGGGTTGACTGGGACCAATACGGTTTCCTAGCCGAAGTGGCTATGCGGGAAGTGCCTCTGAGCGATTTTGAGGAGATGACCTCGGATGAGCAAATTGCTTGTCTTAACGAAATCGTTTGGAAGGTAAATGATCGCGCGCTGCGTAAATGGGTGCCGCCTAATCTTAGGCGGGTGAAGTGGTGGTCGCGAGCGCTCAATGACAAGAGGAAGGCTGTCCGTCGATCGAGACGTTTGTTTCAAAGATGTAGGCGTAGCGGGGGGGATAATCTGTCCCAGCTTAGGAGTCAATATAGGAGTGAGATGAGGGAATACAAAGATGTGTTAGTCAGGACGAAAGAGGAGGACTGGCGGAGATTTGTAGGGGAAAATAGGGACGATCCTTGGGGACAGGTCTTCAGGATCTGTCGGGGTCGTCAGAGTAGGGAAATCACCTCTCTTCGCGTTGGTGACACTATGTTATCATCGTGGGGGGAGTGTGCAGGGGCTCTGTTAGGAACGTTCTTTCCTAGGGCGGAGGTGCAGGTTCCTCAAGCACAAGAGGTGCCTGTTCCCCCACTAGATGCTGGGGAGTTGGGTTATGCGTTTGGCCTGGTTAGGTCTAGAAAGTCACCGGGTATTGACGGTTTGAACGGAGAGATGTGCAAATGCTTGTGGAAGTTCATTCCGGAATATTTGGAGGCTATCTATGATAAATGTATATGGGAGGGTTATTTTCCACGTGAGTGGAAAATTGCCAGGGTTGTTCCCCTCCTGAAGTCGCCTGATAAGATCAGGAGTGATCCTGCATCTTATCGGGGTATC